CAAGGTGTAATTATTGACTAAAGAAAGGCACTCTCCATGTGCTCAGAGGCACTGTCTGCCTTAGAAATTGTCCACCAAGCAATTCCAGTCTGCTTTAGCACCTGTCTGCCTGGCTCTGAAGCTCACAACTGTGTCTGTTTGGTCTCTTGCAGCGACACTGGCACGTTCCTGGGTCTGGGCACTGTGACGGGCTCCGTTGCCATCTTTGTTGCCTTCTCGTTGCAGGTATGGTCTTCAGCTCACACCCTAGGCTGGGCCAGACCAGCTGGGACCTCCTAGGAGTAGAGAGGCCTCTGTGCTTCGAGATCCCCAGGTGGCTGTCTTTTGGAGCAGGCACAGGGGGCTTGCCGCGTGGGGCTGGACTAGCCAGCGGGCAAGCTTGCAAGCCAGGGTCCCTATGGACTGAATATCAGGTTGGCAATCTGATGCATTTTCCTTCCAGGGACTCAGCAGAGCACTGGGGTAATAGTATTGGGTCTAGCCCTTGCTTGGGAACCCGGGGGCCCTGCCGAGCCTCTGCTAAAGAAACCCTTGTCTGCACCCACAGAGGTTGTACTATGTACGGGAGGCGCATGGCATTGTGGTCACCGCTGTGGCCTTCCTGCCCGAGACCCCTGAGCTGCTGAAGGACAACGAGGCGGCCCTGCTGAGCGTGGCTGTGGACAGTCGCTGCCGTCTGCACCGGATCCCCTGCCGGCGTACGTCCTGGGATGGGAGGGTGGAAATTGGGGGTGCCAGGGCTGAAGCACACCGATGCCAAGGTTGGCGATTTCACTCTGCCAGCGCGCTCTTCTGGCAGCAGGTCTTCCTGGGGAGAGGGGCATGGAGCCACCCTTCCTGTTTCAGAGCAAAGTGCAGGGGAATGCGCATGCACACAGCACAGGCAGCTCAAATGCTCGTGTCTCTTCCAGGGAGTTTCCCGGTGTGGCTGGTACTGCTCTTGTGTGCCGGACTGCTGGTGGGCACGGTCCTGCTGCTACAGCTGGCCTTCCCCGGATTCCTCTAGCCCTCCTTGTGCCGGATCGAGCGTTGGGAAAGCTTGGACTCTGCTCTGGCCTCCCTGGGGGGCTGCGTTGACCCCATTCCTGGGCTCGCAGACTGGAGAGTGATTCAGAACGCCGGACAAGAGTCACTCTGCTTGAACGTCTGCTCAGATGTGCTCGGCTGAGAGCTGCTTGCCCTGAGACGGGGGGCAGGGCCTCGCTTGGATTGAGTCCCGGGCATGAACTTCGGCCCTCTTTGTCTCATCCCCTGGGGGAGGACACACACCCCCTCCGTTTTTCTTGACTGTTCGGTTGAAACATTCCAGCCTCTGAGCGGGTAAGTCCCATTCCATCTGACGGAGAAAGTCTCGCAGCTACAATTAAACAGGACAATGAAGCAAAATCTCTCCTCCCTGCCTTCTTCCCTGATTGTCTGTTGCCCTCTTCCTTTCCTTTGGGAGCTTGTGCAGGGCTGCGTTTGAATGAGGGGGGGAGCTGCCCCAGCATGACTACAGCGTGTGCTGTGGTGTTACTGACAGCAGTGCATCCTGCTGGGCTTGGAAAGGTGGAGCTGAGCCGCCCCTTCCTGCTCTACCATTGGTGGTGCGGGCAGAAGGGTTGGGGGCTGTGGCTTGGTGGTAGATCGCCTGCCTTGCATGCAGACGTTTCCAAGTTCAAGGCCCAGCGGCTCCCCTTGAAAGGATCAAGTAGCAGGTGCTGTGGCAACTCTCTGATAGCTCGGTAGGGTAGACCAGAGGTCCCCAATGTGGTGCCTGTGGGCACCTTGTCTGGTGCCTGCAAAATGTTTTTAGAAAGTGGGTGGGACTTCTGCCCAGCAAGACTTCTGATTGACGACTAGAGATTTGATTGGCTGTGCTTTGGTGGCAGCCGCTACTGCAGCACTAGGATCTTCACTGAGTGACTGAAGGTAAGCTGCAGCGGCCATTCTGTGGCTTGCTTTGCCCGCCATGTCAGAATTCGAAAGGTGCCCACAGGTTCAAAACGGTTGGGGACCGGTGGGCTAGACAGTACTGTCCAGTAGCCTGGGTCAGTATAAGGCGGTTTCACGTGTCCCAAGTAAGTGTATGGGTGGGAGGTCGCATGCACCCTCCCACGTTCCTTGTGCCATCAGTGTCGGGGTTCTGACAGCCTCTGCCCAGTCGAACAAGGGACTCAAGAAACTCACTGCAGTCATTCAGATATGTCTTTTTTGTGCTACTCCAAGCTACCTGCACCTGTTTGCATTAACACTTCTGGAAGTAAGAATGAATGCCCCCGCTTGCTTCAACTGGCAGCAGGTGCAGCTTCTGAACGTTTCCCTCTTTTACCCCTTGGGGCAGCCACTAACCCAGAACTTGAGTTTAAAGATTGCTTATTTTTGGCCTCACAGATCATCCTATCACTCAGTACCAGTGGGTCACTCCACTGCAGTATTGCCGCTGTCCCCCTCCCCCCCTCCCCCCCCCCCCCCGCCTTGTGCAACAAGCACCCAGCTAGCTTGTCTCCAAGTGGAAGTCCCCTTTGGCTGCAAAAGGTGCCCACTGAGACCCCAGTGATTACATAGCTGTATTCAAGGGTACTTTCCTCCAGAGCCACAGCTAGTCTGGACCAGTGTTCCTTCTAAGCTGTAGAGTCTTGTGAGCAGAAATTCTACTTTGTGAGCGACTGGCATTAAAGTGGTGAGCGAGCGATTAGGCTACGGCATGAATTAGTTTGCTCTGGAGCCGTCCTTTCCTGAGCTGAGACAGAAACGTGTGAGCCGGAGGCTAAAGATCTGTGAGCTAGCTCACACTAACTCAGCTTAGAGGGAACACTGGTCTGGACCTGAGAGTGCGGCATTCTTGTGTTTCATCCTCCTCACAACTAAGGATTAGGGGTAGGGTCCAAGGTGACCTTCCTTCAGCTCAGGGAGATGCCCAGGAAGATTATGGGTGTCCTTGGCCCTGCCCTGGCATATGAAGGAAATCAAAACAGGTAGAGGTGCATGATGGGTTGAAATCTATGTTTGCTGTCCCCAGTCCTGTGGCTTTCTCTGCTGGGGTTACCCGTCCCCAGCAGCAATGAATGTCTGAAAGCCGATTTGTGTGAGCCGTTACTGAAGTGGGGAATATCACACCTATGCGATCTTAAAAGTGCATCTAAGGAAGGACAGAGAAGGTGAAAATTGTTGCTTCACCACCATCTGCTGTGTGAAATTTTGAACAGCCAACGGTGATGTGCTGCTATTCAGTGTTGCCACCCCTTGAGGCAGCAGCACAGAGCAGCTAAATATTCCAAGCACCTGCAGTTCTCCCACTGAAAGCTAGCCTTACAAAGTCAAGGCTTTATAATGAGGTGTCTGCACTCAGAGCCTCTGACCTCATGGTGAAATTTTCTGTTAAGAAAGCTTTCCTGACATCGTCTTTACTGTGAACAAGGCAGAGTACTGGCGGTGGGTTCTTCTCAGGGTAGGTAGCAAGCAGTGCGCCATCATCTCCGATAAGAATCACACTGTGACATCACAGCTGAAATATGTGCAAGTGTGGAACACGCTTCAGTGGGGTGCTGCGTTTGGCTGCCTGGAAGGAACCAGCTCACTTGGTTGTGCAGGAATGAGATTTTTTTTAGGCTCTCCTTGGCCTCATGGGGAAATGTATATATATATTTTCAACAGCACATGTTCAGTGTACATACCCTTTCCCCTTAGGAGCAACTCACACTGCAAACTTGGCACACAGTCCTTTTTGGCTGAAGCCAGTTGCCTTTTTTAACTGAAGGAGAAGGAAAGTTTAATGAAAAAGGAACAACCCTCCTTGGTGCAATGATGCCACTGTAGTCCTGATGCCTACAGCTTCCTTCATATTCAGAAGTGAAAAACTATATAACTCTATGGCACTGAAAAAATAGCTCTGTATTCAACTCAGCATCGCACTGTTTCCTCCCCAAATGCATGAAGTCTCTGGTGCCAGCAGCTGATGCTGGTGAGGATGGACTGGGACACCCTTTCAAGGCACAGCCTTTCATGTAAGACAAATCATTCTGGGAAACAAGGACAGATGGGTTAGTAGCATGGTGGCATGCGTCTTGGCTGTGAACTGTCCATCTCTCTAGAGGTAAATTCAAGCCTTCCACCTGGGAGGGGGTGTAGGATCAAAGCCACAGGTGGGCAAGATGGGCTTGGAGTCTCCTGGCCCAGTCTTCAGTGGTGTCTTCTCACTGATCCAGCAGTGGAGGACTCTGGTCTCGTTCAAGTTCTTTGCCTCCCTCGGCTGCCACTGCAGCCTGCAGTTCTTCCTGGTGCTCAAAGACAGCGGCCACAAACTGGGCAAAGACACGGTCCATGTAACTCTCATGGCGTGGAAAGAGGCCCTCCAGGAAGCCTATATGGCCACCGTGGGATGTCACCAACAAGGCCAATGTGGGCACGCACTGAGCAGCATCTAGAGGAATAGCTGCAACAACAACAACGACAAAGTCAAATCCAGATAGCTCTCCACCAGGAGGAGAACAGCCTGGGAGGGCAGGACGGGGTGCGGCCAGGACTCACCATGCTGAGGGGAGAAGGGGTCATCGGAGGCATTAAGGCACAACACTGGCACGTGGAAGCGGTGCACTTTGTGACACGGGCTGGCTGCTTGGTAGTACTCCTCGCATGAGTTGTAACCAAAGGCCACGGCTGTGTAGCGCTCATCGAACTCACGAATGCTACGAGCCTAGTGGGGGGGGGAGAGGAAGAGAAGGAGAGAGAGAAGGAGATCACACGAAAGCATCAGAGCACTGCAAGGTCAGAGCAAGGGGCGAAGGAAAAGGTGATGTTGGGATTGGGGGAAATGGTACCTTCAGCACATGATCCACATCCAGTTTCTCAGCAATCACCTTTCTGTGCCTGGAATATGATAGGAAGTCAGTGGGGGAGCCAGGAGGAAAGGAGGAGGGGAGGGAAGACTTTTCTTGGGGTCTCATGGCAGGAGGGAGGGAGGATCACATTTGCTCTGGGGGTGGTCATCTAGAGAGGCTCTCCTTACTTTGGAGATCCACATATCCTCTCCCTCCCTCTGATAAGCTCCGTCCTGAACAGCCTCTGTCCTGAACCATGCAAGTCCAGTCCTGCGTTTCTTCCCCCTCCCCCTCCAAAACACACCGTTGGATGAGCTGCCGCAAGTTGGCTGTGAGCCTCTGGTTGAAGAGCACCAGGTTGAGGGGCCTCTCAAGCGAGTGGGTGGTCTCAAAGGAATCCCAGGTCACAGAGAAGGTCATAGCAGCCACCAGCCCAGCCTCACGGCCTTTCCGCCCCAGGTAGTTGAGCACCAGAATCCTGCCAGAGAGGAGGTAAAGCATCAGTGGGAGGGAAGGGTGGTGGAGCTGCCTCCCCCCAGTAGCCTCATGGGAACAGCTAGCCATTGGGCATGCGGCTGGGTGTGCCCCTTCCCCTCTAGATTGTTGTCCCTCCCAGCCTCTGTGCCCCCCCCCCTGCCAGCTGCCTTGCCAGTCTGGCTGCAACGCCGTGACCTGTGGTGGTGGTTGTGGTGGTGGAAAGTGCTGTCAAGTTGCAGTGAACGTATGCCAACCCTTTAGGGGTTTCCAAGGCAAGAGATGTTCAGAGATGGCTTGCCATTGTCTGCCTCTGCGTAGCGATCCCATCCAAATACTGACCAGGGCTGACCCTGCTTATCTTCCATGATCTGACAAAATCAGGTTAGCCTGGACCGTCCAGGTCAGGGTGTTGACCTTCTCTTACTTAACCTTCTCTTAAGGGCCCAGAGAGTTTTCCATTAGCAGCTGGGAGCCAAAGATGGTTAAGTGATCCTCTCCTTTTCCTGATGCTATCCCCCACTCTAGGTGCTGGTTTTCAGTGCAACAGTAGCCTGACTCGGGGACCCAAGAGGCTAGGTCAGGGTAAAGGCGCTAACAAGGCAAGCCCATTGCATTTGGCTACCCTAGCAAAACTGGACCACCTGAACCCACGGCAGCCCTAGCGTCCTTGCCCCGTGGGCAGCAGATGCTAAGGTGCAGCAAGTCACATGGAGCTGTGAGAGCTGCGGGCTGCCTTCCTGAGACACCAGCCACACTCTTTGTTTGTTTTGTGCCGATTCTGATGGTGAAAGACAGCCGAGGCCCTGAGACTTTCGTGTACAAGAACTGTAATGTCAGCCAGTCCCTTCTGTTGTCACTGCAATTTCCACCTCTGTTTATTTAGTGCATTTTTAATCCCATAGCTCCTTCAACGGACTCAGCGTGGACTGCCTGGTTCTCCCCTGTTATCCTCACAACAAGCCCGTGGGGGAGGTTAACCTGAGACAGAAGGACTGGCCCAGGTATGTTTTATGGCAGAAAGGTCTGAGGTGCAGTCCCCGGCATCTCCAGTTAAAAGGACCAGGTCATTGGTGATGTGATAGACCCCTGCCTGAGACCCTGGACAGCTGCTGCCAGTTTGAGTAGACAACACTGACCTTGATGGACCCGTGGTCTGATTCAGTATAAGGGAGCTTCATGTGTCCAAGTGGAGATTTGAACTTGAGTTTCCCTGCGTCCACTCCTCTAGCCACAACACCAGTGGCTCAAGAGGTGCCAAAATGCAAGGGATGGCTGCGCAAATTAACTGGGAAGGGGGTTTCTGCCAAAACCTGCAACTTCTCCCTGCTAGCATTGGGAATGCTCTCACCCCACAAAGCACTGGTCAAGGAAATTCCAGCTGGTTCAGCTAGGAGCACTGGTGTTGCTGACAGCAGGCTTCTGAGTCATTCAGGAGTACCCGTCATGCATACAAACAGGCAGGCTGTTGCTACTAGGTCATCCACATCAGCAGGCATTATGATCAGGGAGCTGCAGCATGTTCATTGAGACAGAAGTCTGAGGGGAGGGGCTAGGATGTTGAAAGGGAAGTGACCAATTAAGTGGCCAGTTGCACATTTGTTTTCCTCGGGCCTATTAGGCCCTGACCTGGATAGCCCAAGCTAGCCTGATCTCTTAAAAACTAAGCAGGGTCAGCCCTGGTTAGCATTTGGATGGGAGACCTCCAAGGAAGCTCTGGGTCAGGACGCAGAGGCAGGCAATGGGAAACCACCTCTGAATGTCTTTTGCCTTGAAAACCAAAAAAAAAAAAAGGGGGCCTGTAAGACAGGGATAAGAGTTTTTGGAGGAGACTCTGAACATAGAGGGGTACTGTCAACTTTATCTGGTGTGGATGGAGGGAGTTTGGGTCTGTAACTATAACTGGCAAAATCCCTGAAGACCTGAGCCTCCTTATAAATGCTCAGAAAATGCTGTAGTCACAGCCCAAAAAGCTGCTTAGATGTATTTGTACATTTTATCTGGATGGTCCTGATGATTTTAAAGATCTATTAAAAGAACCTCCAGGGTGTGCCTGTTCTGTTCTTTAAACTAAAACACAGTTTTTGCCAGTTGAATCACGCTGTAGTTGATTACATTTTGTGGGATTATTCTGGTGTAACTGCTACTCCCCCCCCCCCATTATTTGCCCCCGTCATATGAAATAGATGACCATCCAATTTGAACCCAGAGCCTGGAGTCACACTGTAACCCCCATACTGATTCTGCCTGCTGTGGCTGCTACCCATTTGACAGGATCTGAGTATTTTGCTCTTATTGCCCACTAGAGAAAGAATCCCGTGTGAGAAGTAAAAGTTCACTGTCTAGGATTTTAGCTGCTCCCTAGAAAGGTGGTCTGCTCTGCTGTGACCTGGGTAGTCCAGGCTAGCCCAGTCTTGTCAGATTTTGGAAGCAAAGCAGGGCCAGCCCTGGTTGGTATTTGAATGGGAGTCCACCAAAGAAGTCCAGGGTCACGAGGCAGTTCATGGCAAACCACCCCTGAACATATCTTGCCTTGAAAACCTCACAGGATCATCAGAAATCAGCTGTGATTTGATGGCAAGAAAGAAAGAAGGGGGAGTTGCTTGTTTGCTCCCAAGGTACTTTGTCCCATTCTTTGACAGAAGACCTCCCGGAGCTACCAACACAGAAACAACTTGTTCTGTTGCAGTGCCATCCTAAACAGAGTTACACCTTTCTAAGTGCACTGTGGGCTTCGGAGGGGGTAACTCTGCTTAGGATTGCACTGTTAGTTGCCGGTTTCTTTTTGATAGAAGAAGAAGAAGAGGAGATTGGATTTATACCCTGCCCTTCACTACCCAAAGGTGTCTTAGAGCGGCTTACAAACTCCTTTCCCTTCCCCTCCCCACAACAGACACCCTGTGAGGTAGGTGGGGCTGAGAGAGCTCTTGACAGAAACTGCCCTTTTTCAAGAACAGCTCTTATCAGAGCTACGGCTTGCCCAAGGTCATCCAGCCAGGTGCAAGTGGAGGAGTGCGGAATCAAACTCGGTTCTCCCAGATTAGAGTCCGTGCACTTAACCACTACACCAAACTCTTTCACAGGTCTTTCAGAGCTCTCTCAGTCCAAAAACTAAGTCTAGGTTGCCACTTTAGTGGTGCCTAACGCTAAAGAGCTAAACTTAAGGCTGCCAGACAATCTTTGGCTCTCCTGGCTATACCACATACATTGCCATACGATACATTATTATTAATTATCCCTGTTCCCTTGAGCAAGTACATCTTCCCACACAAACTGTTGCCCAAGCTGAAACTCACCCGCCCAGTGAAATGCCAACTGCCATCAGCGGTGCCCGAGGGAACTGGCTCTTGATGTGGGCCACCACCAGCTCCAAGTCCTCAGTGTTGTTGGCACAGAAAGCCCGGTAGGTCTGAGGGAGAGAAGCGGGTGTGAAAGCCTGGAAGTAGGACTGGGAGACTTCAGCCCACCGGCAGAGAACAGATGAAAGGCCATCCCCTTCTGCAGAGAGAAGCAACCTGCCCAGTCTGGAAGGGGCATGGTCAGGGGTCATTTCCTGCGGGAGCGCACAGGAGCGGGGCTCCAGCAGTAAGGAACCCAGGGGGCGGGCACATGCAACAAGGCCCGCCAGGGCACGAGGAGCAAGAAGCAGCCAGGTAAGTTGCAGAGCCCCCTCCCCGGCCCCCCTTCAGGTACAAGCTCTCCCTCCTCTGTGAGGACAGATCTGCATGTTCCCCCACCCAATAGCTAGCAATCCAGAACAGTCCAGTGGAGCCTGAGCGGTGGGTGTTGCCTTCTGAAACACTTCCGGTGATGTCAGGGGGTGTGGCATATGCAAATAAGTTATGCTAATGAGCTCCTGCACCTCTTTTTCTATGGAATTACCCCTGGGCATGGTAAGTACCTCTTCCCTGTCACTGCAAACATCCACCATACCCGGGGACAGACAAGCAAAGGGCAGGGAAAGGGGGGACGCAACTGTGGACCGTGGCAGTACGCACCAGCAATTCCTCTCCTTTGCAACCTCTGTTATTGAACACGACTGCCCTGGAAGGGAAACAGAAGGAAGATGAGCTGATTGCCAAAACCATCTCCCTCCACCCTGCCCATGAGGCTTCAGCCAAAGGTTGCCAACCACCTGGTGGGGCCTGGAGACCTCCCATTACTACAACTGGTCTCCAGATGACAGAGATCAGTTCCTGTGGAGAAAATGGCTCCTTTGTAATGTGGACAGTATGGCACTGTATCCTGCTGAGGTGCTTCCCTTCCCCAAACTCCACTCTCCCAGGTTCCACCCCTAAAATCTCCAGGTAATTCCTCACCCAGAAATGGCAATCTTACCTCAGCCCCCAGCACTCCCCATCCCCCACTCTTGTCAGCCTTTGCCCTCAGACAGTTTTCTAAATGTAGTCATTTGGAGGAGGAGGAGGAGGAGGAGGAGGAGATTGGATTTATACCCCGCCCTTCTCTTGGAGTCTCAGAGCAACTTACAAACTTCCTTTCCTTTCCCCTCCCCACAACAGACACCCTGCAAGATAGGTGGGGCTGAGAGAGCTCTTTCAAGAACTGCCCTTTCAAGGACAACTCTTGTCAGAACTATGGCTTGCCCAAGGTTATCCAGCAGCTGCAAGTGAAGGAGTGGGGAATCAAACCCGGTTTTCCCAGATTAGAGTCCGCACACTTTTTTTGAACATTTATAATTTTTTATTCATATTAACAACGCACATTTATAACAGTTTTTACAAATGTAAATACAAAAAGTACAAAGCAAACATGTTACTGTAAACTAAGAACTTATGTTGACATAACATTAACTCTAGTCCAACATTTTAAATACAGATTTTCCTATTTACCATAGATCATTTTTTTCATTGAATTAGTGCTATTATTTTTGAACATTGAGATCACTAGCTTAAAGACGGCATATAGACAAGATCCAGAACCAAGACATTAGAAGTATCTTAAAAGAAAAATAAACAGTATTTCAGATCCATTTATGAAATTGGGACCACTGAGAGGATACAAACTGCTGCTGAGACAGGTAGTCTAAGATTGGATACCATTTTCCTGTGAATGACAATTGGTTTGATTCACGAGAGTTATAAGACATTTTATTGGTAACTGCATCTATAAGATAGTGGTTCCATAATTTACGGAACCAGGTGTCAATTGCTGGGGCCCTTATATCTTTCCAAAAGGATGCAATTGTTGTTTTTGCAGCATCCAGCATGAGAGTCCGCACACTTAACCACTATATCAAACCACTACACCAACCACTACATCAAATCTGGCCCAAATTGGCAAGGATGCTCTCTCCCACAAGTTAAAATATTTTACCCCACCTTTTCCACCCTAAATGGTGACTCCGGGCCCCATACAAAGCTAGCCAAAGCTAGACAGTAGATTTCTGTGAACCTTTTGGTTTTCAAATGCCAGCAGCCAGCCTCTTATAATATCTGCAGACATGACCCACCACTTAATACCCATCAAAGGCCTATCTGTGGAAGTAGGCCAAGTAGGGGCCTTCCACATTTTCTCCAGTTAACCATTTTAGAAAATTGGAGTTCCTGTTGTCAACGAGCAAGACTGGGTGGTAGCTGGATGAATGGCTCCAACTGAAGCAGATTAAGAACAAAATAAGAGCTCTGCTGGATCAGAACAGTGATTCATCTAGTCCAGCATCCTGTCTCACACAGCAGCCAACCAGTTCCTCTGGAGGGTCAACAACAGGGCATAGAGGCCGAGGCCTTCCCCTGATGTTGCCTCCTGGCTCTGAAATTCAGAGGTTTCCCCTCAGTCACCATGGCTAGTAGCCAGTGATAGACTTATCCTCCACGAGTCTATTACTGTGGCCATCACTACATACTCGGGCACCGAATCCCACATTTTAATTACTCTCTAAGGGGTTCTGAGGTGTGTTCACAGGTTCTTGTCAGAAGAGGCTGTTCTTCAAGTAGACTGGTCATAGAGGTACGAAGGGGGTCTATTTGAAATTTACATACAGCAAGCTACTCCACACACGGTTCTTTATCCCTGCTCCACAGTTGCAGAGACTGGCACAGGCTACCTAGTGGAGCTTTCTCACCTGTAGCCCTGTTGTCGGGCAGTGCGCACCATGTGCAGAATGTAGGTCTCTTCACTGTTTCCTGTCAGCCCTGGCAGGAGTAAGACAATGGGACAGCTCTCTGGGTCAGGGCGCCCTGTATCCCTGTCTTCATCGTCGGCCCAGTCCAGTAACAGCTGCCCTCCATCTTTAGTTCGCAGCACCTCACTGAATGGGAAATGGAGGAACAAGGAGATAGGGTAGAAACACAGAAATATAGAGCTGGAAATGATCCCAACGGTCATCTAGTCCAACACCCTACACAACGCATGAGATTTACAGCTACCTCGCCTCCAGTGACCTCTACTCAAATGCCCAAAAGTTAGATGAACTAGAAAACAGGATATTGTGGCACAGAGGCCTAGCATGGATTAACAAGATGCAAGGGATCAAAACTTGGTGTCCACCTGCCTAATCAGATGTCAACAGCTGCTCACGCAGCATAAGGAAAAATAATTGCCCCCGAGCCATTCCCAGTCTTCGTCTCCAGTCCTACCTGCGGTAGTGGACAGGTGGGCGCGATTTGAGGAAGACACGGACAATGGTCTGGAGCCGGCCATCAAAACACCACGGTGTGGGGTAGAACGTCTCATCCACTATAGGACAGTGCTTCTCCAGGAAGGAACGGAATGGCTGACAAGCCACCAGCAGGGGGCGCTGTACAGAGAGAAAGGGCCATCCCGGCTTCAGTTTCAGATGACCTGCCCCATACTCACAGGCCTCCTTGCAGGAAATTGCACAACAGGAGATTTGTAAGTCACTCGCCTGGAGTGAGTAATAGTTGTTGTAAGGCAACCAGGAAGGAAACTGTTAACAGATTCTTTGTTTACTATATGCTACTGTCTATATTCTGTAAATGACTACTCACAGTTGTGTGCGGGGAAGCAGGCTAATAGTTTTTGTGGGCTTCTTGACAAGGGTGCAGCAGACCACTGCTTCTGTGGTTCTGTCCAACACCCACAGGCAACTAATCGACTGGCAGTCAAGATGGCTCTTTGTTCAAGATGTAGACCCCTTGTTCCGCATCCCAAAGCCCAAGTCAATGCAACTCATTCTAAAAAAAGAGCTGTGTATCTGACAAGGTGAGTTCCAGTGAAGGAAAGCTCTGCTCTTCTCCATTTTAACCTCACAACAACCCTTTGAGGTAGATTACACAGAGGGAGATGATGGTGGTGACTGGCCTAAGGTCATCCAGCAAGCTTTATAGTTGAGAAAAGGTTTGGACCTGGGTCTCCCCAGCTAAGCATTTTACAAGGGGGGATACAAGACTAATTTCTCACTTGATCTGCCTGGGTACACAGGTCTCAGATTCTTGGAACCCAGCCTGTCATTAAGCCCCAGTCAAGACCTGAGCCAAGTCCCCCCACCCCCCCCAAAAAACCACAGGAACTGCCCTGTGTGTGCACTTCTCCTTATGTCCTTTCATGTGACACCTCCCAAAGTAGGCATCTTTGCCGGGATGAACAGTAACAGAGCCTACACAGCAGGAACAAGTGGTGATAAATTGGATCAGCTGCCCGTAGAAGCAGGCACTTCCTGACCCACCCACAGTCAGTCCTGACTCCAGGGCAAAGGTGTTTATACTAAAACACCCTTGGCTTTATGGTTGGTTTTGTTTGTTTCATGGGCAAAGTGTAGTCATAGGGAGGCATTAAGGTAGAGGGAGCTGCATATTCTAGAGGGGACTGGAAAATAACATCTGTAAGGAAAGGCATTATCGCAGAAGGAAAGTGACCCAAGAGAAACACACAGAAGCAGCCAGTGGTGGGAGGTGAGAAATAGGGTGTTGGTTTCCATACCTAATAACTGCTATCAGGTTCCCAGCTAGAGTTCCAAGACCTGTATTCTGCAGCAGCAGGGATCAGCCTTAAACATGTGACTTAATAATAAAGGAAAGAATACATCCCAGTATGTACAAAGCATCTTTTTTCCTTTCACAAGAAAGAGCACCTCTGACAAAGGAAGCTTTGACTCTTGGAAGCTTCTGCCCTGAAACTCTTGTTGGTCTCTAAGATACAACTGGACAGGAGTCCGTTTTCCTGCAGCTGTGAGAAAACATCTGGGATCGTATCAAACAGAATTTCTAACTTTCTGGAAACCCCCACCACTTAAAACAATTAACCACTTGGGCATCCAATAGACAGACACAGGAGGAGAAGGGAGCCAGCACAAGCGGCCGGATGTGTCAGCAGATGGGTACTACACCACCACCCTGGCAAGCCTGCCAGGCCTGGCCTCAATATCCCCGATTCCCGACCAAGGAAGTAAGTAGAGGAAGGAGCTGGGCAGGGTTCAGTCTCGTTAAAAGCGAAGGACCCGCAATCTCCCCTCTGCCTAAACCTGCGCCTTCGACCTTGTAAAGCTTCCCGTCTCATAAGGCACTCTGCACACGCTCAGCCGCAGAAAGGACGGACGAAGGCACGGGAAGCAGAAGCAATAGAGAGGAATAAAAGCTGAGCCACACGTCTTGTTTTCCCTAGGAGCTTGTTGGCAACAGCCGGAGGGGCTTCGGGGCAGAAGAGCCCTTTCCATCCGTCCTCCAACCCCCTGGTTCCCGTAGAAGATGAACTTGCCGGCTTCCTCCCGCCAGTCCAGGGCGCTCGGAGAGGCGGAAGCACTGACCTTGGGGACACGAGCCCAGTAATAGGCGAGCAACCCGGTGCTGAAGCCCACCAGCAGCGACAGTCCCAACATCTTCCGTCCAGTCCCGCGCCCGCCAGACCAGGCAAGCAGCGCGCCCCGCCGCGAACCCCTGAGCTAGCACCGATCACTGCCCTGCCGGGAAGGAGCAAGCACCGCCCACCTCCCCAGCTGGGCTGCCTTCTTTGGGCTGGGCTGACGCAAATCCCCGCCCACCCGCGGCCATCTTTGTGACGGGCACCGTGCCTCTGCCTGCCATTCATTCCAGCCGGAGGGGCAGAACCGAAACGAGAGAAGGCGTTGCTGTCAGCCAGGTCCCAGCCCCAATAGTTCTGTCGTCGTAGCCCCAAAAACCACAACAGGAGTCTTGCGGCACCTTTCGAGACAGAGAGGCTGCAATCCTTAAGGACACTTTCCTGGGAGCAAGCGCTGTTAAATAATATTGGACTTATTTTGGGAAGACCCTCTAAAGATTGATTTCTCCCTAACAGTTCTATGTATGCCTGAGCGAGATTCGAGTCCAGGAGCACTTTAAAAACCAACAAGGTTATCAGTATATAAACATTCAAAGGTCAGAGCTCCCTTGGTCAGATACCAGGGTGTCTGTTGTGGGGAGAGGAAGGGGATTGTAAACCACTCTGAGACTCCAAGTGAAGGGCGGGGTATAAATCCAATTTCCTGTTCTTCTCTTCCTGTTGGTGATCTTGCTAAAGTGCTAAGTAGTTCAATCTTGTCTTTCTACTGCAGACTACCTAAAACCAACTCCGGATTGAGAAATTCCTGAAGATTTGGGAGGTGGATCTTGGGAAAGGCGGGATTTGGGGCGGATTGGGACCTCAGCGGGGTATATAATGCCTCCCTCCAAAGCAGTCGTTTTCTCCAGGGGAACCAATCTTTGCCGTCCGGGGATCAGTCGGAATACCGGGAGATCTCCAGGCCTCACCTGGAGTTTGGCAACCTTAAAGCATCCGTGCATAGCACCTTAAGAAGCGGGCTTTAGTCCGGAGAAGCTTGTACTGCAATAAAATGTGGTTGGCCGAAAAAGGATCCTGATCATTGTATTTTTGCTATCCCTCTGGAACGGTTAACAGATTTACTGCCTCAGTCAGAGGCTTTCGTCAGCTAAAGCTCGCTTCATCGAAAGGGCAAAAATGCATGCGGTGCATCTGACCCAGTGGGACTGCTGCCCAGAATGCTCCTGGCACGATAATTCTGTTACTCTCTAGGGTGCTACAAGACCCCTCCTTTTTCTAACACTTTTTCTTTGCAATGGTTGACTCCTCCGACTGATACATGGTAACTGTCGCCTTCCCCAACAGCCCGAAGACTTTTTTTCTTTCTTTAAAAATAAACACACTTCCAGATTTCCCCAGGGCTCAATGTGGCTTACTAACCCACCCCTTGGGGAACCTGCCAAACATGATCTGGAGCCCGGAAAGGGAATCACCCACCAGAATCTGGAAGACTTTTGCCTTTTACTCCCCTGACCGGTAAGAATTTAAATGTTCAAAGCTGCTTGAAACACATGGTGAGCAGAGAGTGCCTCTGAGCATGTATAAAATATTCTTCCTCTCATCAATAAGCAACCTTCGCTCCCAATTCCGGGGTTTGCTAGCTGGTTTGAGGCTGTAGGTATGAGGACATTTTGCATCCACTGCTTCCTTCAAAGGGCAGAGGACGGCACACATGGCAGTTGTCTCATTTTGTCTACACAACACCAATGTTCCTGCTAAACTCTGGAGTCTTGTGAGCAAAAAATGTAGTGTGTGAGCTACTTGTATTAAAGTTGTGAGTGAGCAATTTGGCTACTGCATAAATTAGTTTGCTGTGGAGCCATCCTTCCTGAGCTAAGACAAAAATGTGTGAGCAGGAGGCTAAAAAACTTTGAGCTAGCTCACACTAACTCAGCTTAGAGAGAACACTGACAACAACCCAGCAAGGTAGATTAGACTTGCCCAAAGCCACAAAGTAGCTCAGCCACTGTGGCTGTGTGGAGATTTCAACGCAAATCTCCAGTCTACACGCATTGCTATTGTTAGCCAGGCCTAAATGGGAAGACACACACACCCCTCAGGATGGGGGAGCTCTTCTGAAATTATGCCATCTCCAGACCACAGAGATGAATTCCCCTAGTGAAAATGGCTTCTTTGGGGGTGGACTCTATGGCCCCACATCCCCTCTGAGCTCCCTCCCCTTCCCAAACTCTCTCCTTCCCCAGGCTTCACCCCCAAATATCCAGGAATCACCCTACCTGGAGTTGGCAACCCCTGGTCCACACCTCCCTTTCCTCAGCACTTGTCCCATGACTGAGATAAACTTTGAAAAATAAACCCCCTACTAACAATGTTATGCATATTATCCTTTCCCTATTAAGAACCAGAGTCCATCTTTTAAGGGGTCATGTATTTCCACACTGTTTATAAGTAGAAAATCCTTTACAAGGAGGAAACTGTGCTAAACCTGAGTTGCTGGACAACCAAGATCTTGCAAAGGATTTTGACAGGTGCATTGTAGCATCAATTCAATAGCCTCAGAGCTGAGGAGTCACTGGCCATCTCATCACCCCCTTCTCTCAGCATTACTAAAAATTTTAAGGGAAACAAGACAAAGGATTCAGTTTATTCATTTATTTTTATGTCATTCATATCCCATCTTTTCCTCTAATGGGGACCCAAAGCTATTGAAATCGTTTTCTCCTCTTTATTTTCACAACAACTGTGTGAGGTAAGCTAGACAGAAAGTGCGTGACTGGCTCAAAGTCACCCAGTGAGCGTCCCTGGCAAAGTGGGGATTCGAACCTGGAACTCTCCGTTTCCTCTAACCACTATAGCGTACCACCTCTTTTTAAAAAACATGACAGAAGATCTCATTTTGTAAAATCCCTTTTGTATCAAAAACATAAACACAAATCCCGGCGTGTTTCGACCCTCTTCCTTAGGCGAATGTTTGAGATCAAAAACACATATAAACGCTCCTTGCAGGACATAATCCGTATGCCTCCGGCTAGATTCTTGCCGGCCGCCTGTTTGAGGGCCACGTCCCGAGAGGGGCTGGGTTCAAAGGCAGAGGATGGAGCCGGAAGGAAAACAGCAGCCGCTGCCCGAGGCGATGGTCGGAAGAGATCTGTGGAAGCCGAAAGCTCACGCCGGCATTCCAGCGCTCCCCTAAGCAAGCCAAAAAGGAGCTCCCCCCCCCAAAAAAACCCCGCAACCCTAGTTTTGTAGTCCCCCTGCGGGGTCGTTGTGCGCACTCTTGGCTGTGAGATCAAGGGGAAATGAAGACTTCCCCCCCCCCCCCCCCCCCCCAGTAAGCGAAATCCCCTTGAGCTGCATGCACAAAGCCTCCGGTTCGATCCTCGCCTTGTGTCGCCGACTGGAAGAATGGGTAGAAACAAAGACTAGGGGTGGGAAGAGCCGCCGCAGGAAGCTTCCTCTGACACGCGACGCGACCGGAGGGCGGGGAGATCTAGTAAGGGGGCTGGGGCACCACCCCCTATAGGGGGGGTGCCTGGGGAGGGGCCGCGGTGGGGCGCAGGGCGGGCCCGGCCTAGTGCCTGCCAGCG